TTCCAACCATAATGATTCTATGATTCAGGAATAAGCTAGTTTAGGCAAAGTAAGTAAAGATCAATCATCAGGGATCATTTTTCAGACTTCACGTATAACTTCATAGCTGCTTCCACTAAAAGCAAGATGTGCACAGAAAGGTACTAACTCTGTTTTTTTTTTTCTCTTTTTTTTTTTTGTTTTGTTTTTCCTTTCCTGCCTTCAAATACGTTAACAGTGTTCTTTAGATTCTAGTTTAAGAATCATGATCTGCTTGTTGAAGATACCTACCACTAGTGCCACCAGGGTAAGTTCCAAGAAGACAAAACTCTCTTGCCTCAGATTTAGCCTGCTTGTGCTGTTCTATGAATGTGTTCTCATCCCCTAGCTAGGAAAGTATGCTATACAAGCATAACATTGTGCAGTCCAATACTCTTTGGAGAATGATAAGAGCTTTGGAATCTAGGTTACAGTAAAGTGTTAAAGGGTTGGTGGGATTACATTCCTGTGTGGGTGTGAATGTATATCTTCTTAAAAATTTGATGTTCTCTTCCCCCCGCCCCTCTTTTTTTTTTTTTCTTAAAAAAAAAAAAAGACAGTAATGAACTTCCTTAGAAGTTCTGCAGTACAGTTCTACTGAGGTCAGTGAGGTTTTCCTGCATAAACACTACAGAATCTCTTGTATCTCATATGCACTGTGTCAGAGGTGAAACTATTTTCTAATTTTTTGCTTCTGATTTCTCATATAAGCATGAAGGCAAATGCTAGACAGAACAGCCATTTGACTGAAACAGTGTAAATCCCAGCAAGATAGCCTCTGAGCTATAAAGAATGCTGTTCCATTCAGGTGTTTCAGAGTTGGAATGCTTTTTGTTTTGCTGAGCAACAAGTTATTGATTTCTCTAAATCACGTCATTGCAGAGTCTTCTGGAGCCTTTTTCAAAATTACTAAGCTTTGTAATTCAGAATGCTGTCTTCACTCTGGCCTACCTGGTGGAACTCTGTGGTTTGTGCTATCGAGCCTTCACTAAGGTAACAATGAGACTATATCTTCCTTTAGGGACAACTGAAAATAGGACACACAAAGTCCTAATTCCCTCAAGTAGTTTGTTTGTAAGTAAAGATGAAATCAGTGTCAAGTTTCAGACATGCCAACAGTTTTAATGTAGTTTGGCTAATCAAGTAGTGATCATGATTCAGTGCCTTTTAATAATACTGAGGTTCACATTTACAGTACAGACTCAGATAAAGGGAACATGCTGAAAACATTGCTCAGAAAAGTATTTTGGTGTGATTTCATGACTTGGAATTTTTTTTTCTTTTGTAGAGATGATATCTGGTATTCATGCATGACTTAAAATGTCTGTACAGTCATATCTTTCCTATTGCGCAAGTTTAGCCACATACCTTGTGCAGAAAAAACTTAAATATTCCTGGTAGTGCCTTTGGAGAGCACAGCTGTGAGGGGAGGCAACCGATAGATAGCTAAGTAAAGTGGAAGACTCCAAGTTGGGAGCTTCCCAGCTTAGATCCTGTTTCATTCTGTGTTAAGTGACTCAGTTTGGTGTGCATGGCTGTAAGCTGTGTAGAAAAGAGAACAGAATGTGTGCACCTTTAAAAAGTTTTTAAGATTCCTGGATGAAAGCTATAGTGTGCAAATAACACTCCCTTATTACTAAAGTTCATTTTTGTAGCTATTGGTGAGAAAGTGAACGACAACAAAATCCACAAAAAACAATCAAACCTTTTGCTAAGACCATGTATACTCCATTATGTAGATTGTTAAGACACTGAGCAAAATGTTGTTTCAGCCACTAAGTGCACAGTTTTCCATCCTTGATACATTTGTCAAAACAGTAGTTAATCCTCAGGAAGTGTTCTCTTGTAAGTAGCTACATGATTTTTCTATATTGATAATGTATAGCTGGAACATGCATTGCTTCAGTCTTGGTAGGACTTAAAATATCACTGGGCAAACAGTGAAGAAGAAATGATAAAAGCAATGATACTTGTACAGAAAAACTAAACCATGAGAAAGTAACAAAAACTTTTACCAGATGTAATGGTTTGAAGCATGAAATAGAAACAAACAGTCTGTTTAGTTACAGCAAGTAAATGCTACCTTTTTTTGTCTAATTTGAAAGACAAGAGTTTATGAAAGAAAAAAAATCCTTAATACAGCAGAGACTGTCCAGCGTTTGGAAGTAATTTGAGTTAGATCTATAGTTAAGGCTTTGGGCAAGGCAAAGTGAGAAAAATGTTATCCTAAAATCCAACACTGGGGTTTTTTCATTGAAACAAAAAAAGCCTTATTTAAAACTGAAGCAAAGAAGTTCCTCTTGCATTTGTGGTCTCATAAGACTATTTTGTGTATGCCTGCTAAAGCAAATTGTGAAAGTGTTTTCACTCCTCTCATGCTCCACAATTTTGGTTATTTCATGAAAATTTTATTAAAACCATGGTATTAAACCCCGTGTGTTTCTTGCATGCTTCCTGGTTCAATGTTCTATTAATATATTGGGTACTTAATTGCACACAGGAAGCTTGAATTATAGCTCTTCATAAAATTTCCTTCTTGATTTTGTTTAATGCAACCTGATGACCCAGAAATGGAATCATTACTGAATGGTCTCCTGCAATTTATAGCCACAAAATGCTTAATTTAGTGGAACTCCACAGTACGTTATCTTTGTTATTTCTGAATGTTTACCATGGTTTTGCATTAGAAATACCAAATTATGGACTGCTGTCAGAAAAACAGAAATCAGTTGTGATGTGTTTCTCTACAGTGAAAATTACTGTAGCCAAGTAAGAGTTTTGTTTGTGATAAAATACCAGATAGAAGTGAATTACAGAAGGAATATAATTTGTGAATATTGAAACTGTTCAGATTTAATTACTTGTTTTGCAACTTTGAATGTGCTGGCTGGAACGAAACACCAACTTTCAGCTAAGCTGTGGAGGATTCTTGTGTTTTCAAAGACCAAGCTGCTCTGACATGCACTTGTAGAGGTCAGTGCTGTACAACCATTCCAAATCTTTTTGTATCTCCAACATTTTCCTAATACCCTGCAGCAGGAACATCTCAGTTTCTCTTGTCTTGGAGCCTGAAGACTCATGTCAATCTGGTATTTCCTTGTCTGAGTTTTGGTTCCAGGTCAGCAATTTGATTTTCTCAGTGCCTTTGGAACTCTCAGTTGAGAGTAGTATCTCTTCCATGGACTGTAATCTTCTTATCTTTACCTTTCCTTTCAAGAATCTTAAGGTCCTAAATGGACACTTTTGGGCTTTCTTATCTTTTACATCTGCAGAAATTTGAACCTAAACTTAGCCTTTTGCTGGCATTCTGTTGACCCTTAGTAAGTAAATGCAGAATGCCACTGAATTGGACATGACATGATTTTGCTATTGAATTTTTTTAAGGAATATTGAACTAGTATTTGTATTTACTGTAGTAGCATCAGAGATAAAATAAAGAAATTTGCTTTGTACTAGCTTAGTTGGAAGATGGCATACCATTCCATTAAAGACCCAAATTTACTATTCTTACCACTAAGTTTCAGCCCTGAGATACTACTAGAAACAAACTTCAGTAGTTTCATGTTCTACACATAGACCTCTGACAAGTCACAATTTGAAGGTTGCCAAGCATTTTTTTTTTATAGGGATGTATGGGCATTTGAGAGGGTTAATTTGGCTGAACAGAGGCTAAAGGGGTTGTATTCTTGACTCTTTGGTACGTGGTTTACACATGTGACTCCTCTGGGCGTTATTCTTGTGGAACCTATTTATAGCTCTGTGACAGAATATAAAATTCTTAAAGTATGTATAAACTATGCTTATACGTATTTATCACCAGCATTATGTATATGTCTTAAGACTGTGAAGACATATGATGGTGGGAAGGGTCACTCTTGCTGGTGAATTCTAGCAAGTAATCAGGGTCTATTTGCACCTTGAATGTTGTGCACTGCTCTAGTTCCCTATTCTCAAACAGAATATAGTAGAATCAGAGAAAGTTCAGATAACGGTAACAAGAATGATCAGTGGTATGAGCTCTACATACACAGCAACTAAGTTAGGGCTCTTCAGTCTGAAAAAGCAACAACTGATGGGAATGTGAGAGAGGTCTGTAAGGTCACAAGTGACCTAGACAGGGATGGGTAATTTCATGCCTTTCCAGTATAAGAACAAGAACATATTAGGTTTGTAGGAATCAGTGTCCAAGGGAGTAAGGGGAAGTGGTTCTTCAACCGTGTGTGACTCCTTGCCAAGTACGGTGGGTGCTAAAAGTTGACATGGTTCAAAGAGGTCTATGGACACATATGTCAAAGAGAAATCCACTGAGAGTTATGAATTATACAGAAACCACACTGGGCTCAGAAGTTCCCTGAGCTGAAAATAGTTGGCAGCTAGGAGAATAGTAGTAGGAATTATACATGCTTGCCTTGGTTTTATTCTTCCTTTTGCATCTGCTTATGGCCTTGTTGGAGATAAGTTACTGAGGACATTTGTTCTGGTCTGACCCCTCCTAGATATTCCTATATTGTATTATTCTTATCAGAGCATCAGTCATGCATGTGGGATGTGTGACCTTTGAGTACTTGTACCCTCAACTAACGGTTTCATAGTACAACTGAACTGATCCAGCTGCTCCCATCAGGGAATGAACTTTTTTTGAGTGTTAGCTTCCTGTGAGTTTAGCTGCCTAGACTGCAGCAACGTAGTCACACAAGGAGCACTGCAGTTCGGGGCCCATTCCATCAGCTAAATCTGTTATCTGTGTTATCTGTCTGCACACTCCGTGTATGTGAAGATCAAACTAGAAGCTTGAAGTAAGGTCTTTTGATTCACAGACTGGTGTCATAATGTCTGTAAAAGACACACCATTCTGTTGTTTTGGCACCTTCTCCCAAATCAGAGGCTGGTAGTTAAAATCTGTTTTCTTTAAAAGGTGTCTAGGTGCTATGGGAGACACAGACTGTTGCTGTAAGCTTTGGCATTATGCTGCACAGATACAATGTGGTGACATCAGCTCTCTGAGGAGGAGTGCTGGTGACTGGCTTCTTGGTCTGCTGCAACCAAAGCTCACTCTCGCAGCTATTCATCTCCTCCAGCTCCTTCCCTTTTAGTTGCACTTGCTACTGTGTGCAGCTGGAGATGGCCTTCAAACTGACCCTCACTAAACCTCTCAAGACTTCTCTGAGGAAGGGGCAAACATTATTATCCCATTTTACAGATGTCACAGAGGAACCGAGGCCCTGACTGAGTAAAAAGTTCCACACATTTAACCCAAGTGAGCAGGCAAGTGGATGAGATTTACAACATGGAAGATACTAGGCTTTAAATCTTAAACACACTTTAGATATGGTCTCTTTATTAGACAACATTATTTCATCTCTAATGGTCATTTCAAAGAGAGCTCAGTGTAAGTCTTCCTGCTGATGAAAATTCTTGAGTTGCTGTGGTCAGTAGCAGGTTATAGATTTGTTCTACATTTTTATCTTATCATCTAAAGTCAGAGAATGTCAAAGTAAGATGTATAACAGGCTCATCTTATCACTTGTACCTCCTTGCTGTCTCAGCTCTGCAACTCTATTTTTAGGCTGTGTTCTGATCTCCATTGGCTGATTCCCCCCTATGTTTTAAAATGTTTCTGTTGTAGCAGCTGTAGCCAAGACGGTTTTTTATTGTGTAAGTGGACAAGTACTGCTAGTCCAATGAATGAAAATAGACGTCCAAGCTGCCTTAGTGTAGGCACCTGTATTTTAAGGGGAATGACAACAGAAAAAAAGTGTGGTAAAATGTAGACCTTTTCTGGCAGCTTTAATGAAAGAATAATGCTAAATACTATTGCCAGTTTTGTTCTCCTGTGTCAATCCTTACTGCTTTCCCCTTTTCCCTTTGTATGGAACTACTTAGTGGAAGCTACACTGCATGCCTGGGCTTTATAACTGTTTTATAAAATCTATCTGTGAAATATTAAAATCTTGGATATAGTGCCTGATACAATATCAAAGGAGAATCACCCTCATTGATGTCCATTCAATCAAGTGTATAGAATTACACAAATGATGAATGATGTCTGCTTTTTTGTAAGACCAGAGAAACCAGTACACTTCTGTAACTTTATTATTCTTGGCTTAGATAAAAAGTATCTTTATGGTTTACTAGTGGGCGTCAGTGAATTTAAGGACATTCATAATTCTGTGTTTTTCTGTTGTAGGAAAGGGACAAATTCTACTTGACGCGCAGCGTCATATTGGAGTTACTGCAGGCACTCAAGTTAAAGTCACCCTTGCCAGACATGAATCTGCTGCTATTGGTGCAGGTACAGGAGATTCTAATGTAATTATCATACTGATCCTGTCTCGGCCCAGTTTTGGGAGGGATTGGGGGAAGAAGCAAGTCCAACATGGTTGCAGAAAGTACCAGCAACGTCAGGGGAAGCAAGAATTTTTTGAATCAAAATCCAGTTACATTTATAACCATAGGTGCATACATTTAGACTCCCACGCTAAAATGTAAGAAACTAAATTGGGAGTCCACATTTCCCAGGATGATAATGACTTGTGCATCATTGCTGATGTATTGAGGATTGTAGAATGTATCTCGAGTTGTAAAGGACCCATAAAGATCGAGTTCATTGAGCTTCATACCGTGTCCCAATGAGGTAACTGCCCCAGCTGCTGCCTTGTCTTCGTATCATAGCCCCAAAAACACTGAGCGGTTTGTGTGGGAAGAGGTGCTAGTTGATCATGGGCCAGAACTCAGTTTCTGTCTATGCAGGTAGGCAGGCAGTAAGCTCTTTCCAGTCCCTGAAGGCTGTTCTCTTTTAACGTGGAATTTTCCAGCAAAGAATACATAGACAATATTTCTGTTCCTTTCATTCTGTGGATTGCTGAGGTGGGAGTTAAGCTAGCTTCTTCATAGGAAAATCTGAGAAGGTAAGATACAAACTTGTGAAGAATCTTTCTGCCTCCAAAACGCAAAGTGTGGCACTGTTTGGCAGCACAGACCCGTCCCACAAAACCAACTTACTGAAGTCCATCAATTTTAATCACAGGTAGTGGGCTCTCAGTGTTCAAAATGAGCTAACCATTATATGCAATTAGTAGCTTTAAGTGATGGGGGACCAGCATGACAGCACTCTGTAAGGTTCAAGCAAGATGTTTGTTATGTAGATCATTCATAATGCTCCCAGCGTCACAGCTCCATTCACTC